GAAAGGAATTCATAACAGCAATCGAAAGTCTCACACCGAATGGAGGGAAGGACTGTCCAGAGCTGGCCTTCAAGGGAATTATAGATGCCCTCAAGAGCGAAATTAAAGAAGGTTCACCGCTATACGTTTTCACTGACGCCACGGCAAAAGATCCACATCAACTCGATGCAGCTAGAAATTTAGCTACGGAAATGAAGTCAAGTGTTTACTTCTTCACCACAGGACTGTGTGGCTCGAGTAAGTATAAAACGTATGAGGATCTTGCAAAAGCCACCTGCGGTCAAGTTTTTGAACTTCCCAAGTCTGGATCGGATTTCTCAAAGATTAAGAAAATCTCCAAGAACCTTCTTGGTGGTACAGCCTGTGTGAGTAGCAGCAGTGCTGGAGGTAGTCCAACCGGTCGAAGAAAGAAGAGAAGTTCCTTCACAGTCTACAAAATTCCCCTCGATGATTCCGTGGACAGGGTCATTATTTCTGTCACAACCCAAAATGGTGGACAAACGATCAACTTACAAGATCCCCTTGGTGTTCCTGTCAGCACTGAGGGCAGAACTGATTTGGCCAAAGGTGCGATATTTATGGTGGATCACCCCAAACCAGGAATGTAGAAGTTGTTTGTATCATCTGGAGCAGGAGAACACTCATATGTAGTGAAAGGGTCCAGTGCGACAAATTTAGACTTCAACGTTGTCTTCGTTCTTCCTCGTAAGGTGGGGAGCCCTCTTCGTATTCCTTATCCTCTTATTGGTGAGTATGTTTCGCAGAATTTCTCACTTACTTTAGGAGGAAACTCTGCACACGCTGGTTCTGCAGACTTGGACTGTATACTTTCGGTTAACTTGACTTTATTCTTCACAATCTAATATTACACGTTCTGTTCTACGACCTATCTCAATCCCATCTTCCTTGAGTTACAAAAATTCTATGTTTTATAGGCTACGGATATAACGGCACACCCAGATACGTAAGTCCGGAGTGGTAAGATAATTTAAGCTAACTTGACAAAGTTGCAGTTTTGTTTTACACATTCTTCAATGATTCGTGGCCACTAATTTCCTGTTACATCGGCTTGTTTGACAATCATATTGTTAATCTACGCATGCGGTTTTACTAGCGACTATTTGATTGAATAAATCTTTGGTTTTGAAGGCTCGATTACACGACGCCGGTCAATACTTCCTTTGACATTCCACAAATCAATGTTGGCGACAAGAAATAATAACTTACTTAATCAACTACTAAATATACTGAAACAGGAAAAATTTATTATGAGCACGTGCGAACTTTTCGCGACACCATTGTCATGGCAACATGAATAAATATAAACAAGCCTTTAAAATCGGCTTTGTTCATTTGTAGAAAATCTAGTCATTAGCTTTTCTTTATAATTTGCATGCAACGAGCTTGTAACGATACTCACAAGTTAACACCATTTTGCTAACAATTTAATAGAGATCTTTAATTATCCCTTGTTGAAGGTTTACTCGATTATCTAGAATTTCCTTTGTTAAAAATCAATTTTTTCCAANTCGGCTTTTCAAAGAACTATTGATTGTTTGCATTTGTTTAAAAGCTCATCGTTTCTCAAATCATGAATATAAGTTAACAACGGTACCTGCTTTATTTATTTATTTTTTTTCGTTTAAGAACTAAAAAAGGAGAAACCGTTCTCATTAGCAGATCCAGAAATAATTTCTAAAGGGGTCGGTTGTGAAATATCATTCACTTGACTCTGATGATGACTTCCCCTCCGGTTGTCGAAACGTCAGTCACCATCATCGACAATAGTCCTTCTCAGAACCACACCCACCTGAACAATCAGACCACACTATCACATGTTACCCCCCGGGTTCAAACCATTTAATGTAAAAATCATCAATCATCTGGTAAAACTTAATAAAATGACGTATCAATTAAATTACCTCAAACTCAAATGCAACAGTAATGGTTTGAACTTGGGGTCAAATTTGATCGTGTTGTCTGATCTTCCGGGTGAGGATCGTCCTGAGAAGGTCTCCGGTTGTCGGTGATGAAAACGGACGTTCTGACAACGTTAGCAGCAGCGATCCCCCTCAGGATTACCCTTCCCTGGAAGATGAGACTACGCGATCAAGTAATAAATCATAATAACTAACTCTTGTTATTTCCTGGCTCTACGTGCACAGGTAAATCCGCTCACGTCATTTTGACTGTAAGTGCCGCAAATAAGATCAAGGGGGCATCATTACAACTTGAAATTCTGAACAGAGATAACGAAGTTCTAAACACGACTGAAGTTCATTCCCTGCCGGGGAAAAGTGGTTTCCGTTTCTCTGCTTCTTTCTCTACTCCTACAACCCCCTTCAAATTGAAACTGAGAGGCCAGACCCAAAAAGGCTTCGACTTTGAGCGTAACTCCCCGGCTCTTGTTCAACCAAGCCGCGTCCTGCTCAGGGCTCTGTATTCAAGAGAAGACTTCACTGTGCCAATCAATGGAAGAGGATTGGTGATATTCATTGTCTACAACACAGGTTCAACCGAGAATTTCCAGTTCGAAGTAAAAGATTCGACGACGTTCAACTCTTCGGTATTGCTGTCCTCGAGACGTGTCTTTCAGAACCGGATTGGTTTCTTCTACACCTGGTTCACAGCAAAGGCCGCTGCTACTCGTGGATCTGTTGATACCGTAATGGTAACCGCCACGGGAGAGACGTCCAAAAGGACGGTTAGCTCTGTTGTTAGCTTGATGGCGGTTTAACTCCTGAAACACACCGGACGGTGAAATATTACGAACTTTTCAGTCTTGCTGTTTGCTGTGCCAATTTCTAAGGATTGAAGAATCTTTAGCAGTAATCAGTTGTCCTTTGTAAACTAGCTAATTGTTTTTAAAGTTCACTAAGACTTGCCAAGGGTCAACACAGAGAGCGGACATAAGGTTTTGATTTCTCTGGCTACAAAAAAAAATCAAATATATATATTTTTTGGATTATCTTCAGTGGAAAGATCGTAAGAAAGGATTTTATGACGAGTCTAGTGCTTTGAATCTTTGTCCTAAACGAGTAATCCACTGAGGCGAAAAATTCTTTATCTTGGATTTTTTCAGTTTTTCAAATAGCTGTAACGATGATTTGGGATTTTCGTGTGACGTTGATATTGTTTTCGTATAAGGATTATGACGTGCTTAGTTAAACAAGGACGAGATATAGATTTCTAAAATGGATGCCACTTGACTGAGAATAAAATTATTAACGAAAAGTTTTGTTCATTTTCATTGTTAGAAGCTCCAAACAATAATAAAGAGCAAACATTAAATATTCATTGACCTGAGAGGAAACTCGGCGATAAATACTTTTAGTGCATTCAGCAAAATAATTATCACTACCACCGCTTTAGAGACAATACGCTTTCTTGTGGAAGAGTGAAATGAAATCGCACCAGTGAATAGAACCGTTTGCGAGGATTTCCCCACGAGAAGGATATTTAGGTCAGTTGTACTACTGGTGGAGCCAGAAAAACGATAAGTATGAAAAACTGAAAGTGCACAGAAAAACTGCACGCCAACCTTGCCCCAAAGGTCAAAGTGCTTTTTCAGATAAACGCCTATACGTTTATCCCGTTCGATTTTCCAGGGGAAACATCCTGACCTTGTCAAAGGAAAACTTGAAAAACTTAGTTGCTCCAATCGAAGGAGGACGATTTCCTAACTGTTTTGGGACAGTGTTCATCACTTTCCCTGCCCTGCAAGGGAAAAAAAATTGGAAACAACACCACCTTTTTCAACTAGTCCGTTATTTAATGACTTTTAGTTTACAACTCCATTACAAATCTTGTTTTCCACTCTTCACCTTGAGTCAGTGTCTCACATCATTTAATCGTGTTAGTGTTGTCAAGGTGAGCCCGTAGATATCGTATTTGACAAAACTCATCGCTCTAGTTACTTATATATTTTCACACTTGGGAAAAGCCTGGGAGATAATGTTGTTAAATCCGGGATGCCACTAAAATTGTTTCAAAAACGATCCGGTCATCATTAAATTGCAGGGCATGGTTCTTCCACCGATAGATCTTCGGTAGTAAACTGGTTCACGGGCCTCCTTTGGCATACGCTATACAATGGTGCCAGCTTTAAGCCACAATCGGAGGTACGCCAGTCATGCAGACTGCCTCCCCATTCCACCATCTGCAAAAAAATACTTGAAGTAACAATTTACAAGTCATTTTCACATAAGATTTGCTCAGATTGACCTAATGATTCCACTTGTGGTGTCTTCCTCTTACTTAGTAAGCCCGAGACGAACCCAACTACAGATTCTACTTTCTTGAAAATACTCCAACCTCCAATGTCATGACTCAGTTGAAAATTACTGCACAGTGAGCACAATCCCTGAATTCGTGGGCCATATTCAATAGCCATAACAGCAAGTAAGATTCTGGTTTATTGAAAGACAGAAGTGTCTTGACTACGTTTGGCCGTTTTTTGTGGAAACAGAATAATTCAAACCATTATTTTATCATCATGTTGTTTGCTTTTCTTAACCAGATAAACTCTGAACATACACAAAAAGTAAAGTAAATAGTATAAGGTTGGAATAGGTCTTGGAGCGATGAGTTAGATTATCACTTTCAAAACACGAGGTTGTAAATGTGATGGAAACACATGAATAAATATAACACAAATTTCAAAGACTGCACATTTCGCAATGGGTCATTATTATGGCTTAAATTAACATGGAAAATTATTCTAACCGTGTTTAATTGAGAAAAAGAATTGGTATTCTCCATTGGGCTGTTGCATGACATGTCGCACAACACACCTGCTAATCGGCTCCTGATTTCGAACCCAAAAACTTAGTTATTCTTCTATATCACATATAACTATTAGTTTTTTTCCTATTACGTTACTTGGTAGTCACGTTATTTAGCCCATCACGCAATACTCTCCAAGAGAAGCTTACGTGAAAACACCACGCTCAAATGAGGAGCTTCAGCCGGCTGTGTGAGAACATATCATACAAGTGCTATAGATAAGAACTAACCTGGCAGAGTGTCAAAAACACTACAAGTTTACAGAACTTCATGTACATCTTTGCAGATTCAGAACTTTTCGTCGAGCCTAGGTCCTTTTTGTTTCGCCATTTTTTTCTGCATGTTAGCTATCATCTCCTGCATTCGCCTCAACTGGAAAAACAAACCTTCAATTAATTAACACTGAACAAACAAACTAAAAGTCACAACTTCACAATAAACAACGTTTAGTGTAATTTCCTACAAAGGTGCCGTCTTACTCAAGGGTCTTTCTGGCCTTTGGAGAGGGGGGTGGGACTTGTATCCCGTAATTTATCGTCATAACAAATTTGTCACAAAGAGGGTATGTATGTGTGCGGGGGGTGTTATTTGCACTCCTGGGCCCCTGGCCACGCCCCTGTGGTTGCCTCGTCCAGAAGTAACAGCAGGTGTGTGTGTTCCGCAAAGTGGCGCGCCCTGTTCGTTGTCAGTGTTATTATTTCAAAAGTGTGCTGAGCACGTCTGTTACGACTCCAATCACATTAAATACCTCTGCTTCTTTTTTCCTTAACATTCGGTCCTTCTCTGAGATTTCAGCTGTATCCACGTCATCTAATTCGAAATTACCACTCTTTCGTTTCCAAACAAGAATAAAAGCCGTGTCCGAATTAGGCTTTTGTGTGTGTTGAAAAGAAGAACGGATCATCGTCTATGTTATTTCCTTAATTCCAATATCTTTCCTGGGTATAACCCTGCGCACCATTGCTACCCTCAATTCTATGCCTCATTAGCGCAAAAAAAGCGCACTTATGTTACAATGGGGGAAATTTCCATCATGGACAGAGCCAAAAGCAGTAAATTGTTATTTCATTGTGGCTGCGCTTCTTTTCTATTTTCCAAGGGGAGTAATAACTTCCTCGCTATGAAATTAATGCACCACAATTCTCACTGCATACTTCCAATGAACAACCACTTAACCGTTGGAAATGCCCTGTAAATACGCTCACCATAATAAAACAATGAATCATATTTTGTATAGTTCATGTAGTCCTGCGCCACACCGGATTATAGATACCTTCGTTAATATTTCAAAATTCAAATTCCTACTTCGATATCCATAGCATGTTGCTTAAATTTGACAGAAAAATTCCAGCAATGACTCTCTTTCAAAGCAATGTCCTTCTATTAAAACTTATCCTTCTTCTAAAAGTTTTAGGCCGTTTCTCCCCTCTAATGGTACTTTATTCGACTACTTTTTCATTCCTCCTATATTCCATTTTATCATTTTCGTTATTTTTTTTCCTCGTCATCTTCCTGGAAAAATATTCCCGTCTGGTTGTAAACCCGATACGTTATGAGAAATGACGGAGAGGAGAGAGATCCGGCGAAATACGCATGCGTTGTTGAAAGGAACTGATAAACTTACATTCCCTCTATTGTTTTTCGTGGACTAGAAGGTTGCCCCTGGCTCGACAGTCTTTCTGCCCTGTAGTTTTCGTAATGAACCTCTTGCGTGACATCTTTCAAGTCCTGTATATGTGTCCTACAAAAACCATTAAACACAGATGGTCAAACATTGTGTTTACAAAGGGGAGCTGCATCGTTTGTAAATTTCACAAAACTTCCGCTTCAAAAGGTTTTGAGAAGTACGATGACAAGTCAGTGAAGTAGTGTGATGTTGTGGAAGCAAACGACTTACCTTATAAGCATGTTTCTGAGCTTTATGAAGTCACAATGTTCAGGGTTTTCGACTGCAAAATTAAGACAACAATAACATAACTGTATTACATGAATGGATGTGTCTAAAAAGAAGACCCAAAAACGAAGACCTAAGACCTAAGACCCAATGGTCTAAAACGAAGACCTTGTGGTCTAAAATGAAGACCCTGTGGTCTAAAACGAAGACCCTGTGGTCTAAAACGAAGGCCCACTGGTCTAAAACCATTTACATTAAAGTGCTACTGCGACCAAAAATGCACCTGTTGTATTATGTCCGTAACTACGTCTCTTTAATCACATATAAGATAACTAACAACGAACGAATTCAATCGACATCCCTCGCTCCTCGCTCCACGTGTCATTACCCCCTCAGGTCATGTGACCGACACAACATCCCTTCTTTTCTTAACAAACAAAAAAAAAAGAAAAA